AGTAGTATTCGTAGCCGTAGTAGTCGTAGTAGTCGTCGTCGTAGTGGCAGCAGTAGTACTAGCAGTAGCAATCGTAGTAGTAGTCGTAGCAACGGTAGTTGAAGTACGAGTCGTAGAAGTAGTAGTAATAGTCATAGTACTAGTAGTAGTAGTAGTAGTAGTAGTAGTAGTAGTAGTAGTAGTCGTAGTCGTAGTGGTAGTAGTAGTAATCGTAGAAGTACTAGTAGAAGTGTTTGCAGTGGTAGGAGTAGTCGCAGTAGTAGCAGCAGCAGCAGTAGTACTAGTAGTAGTAGGAGTAGTAGTAGTAGCAGTCGTAGCATTAGTAGTAGTAGTGGCAGCAGTAGTAGTAGTCGTGGTAGCCGTAGTAGTAGTAGTAGTAGTCGTCGTCGCCGTAGTAGTAGTAGTAGTAGTAGTCGTAGCAGTAATAGTCGTAGTAGTAGTAATAGGAGTAGTAGTAGAAATCGTAGTAGTAGTAGTAGTAGTAGTCGTAGTAGTAGTAGTAGTCGTAGAAGTAGTAGTGGTAGTAGTAGTAGTAGTAGCAGTAGTAGTAGTAGTAGCAGTAGTAGTAGTAGCAGTAGTAAGAGTGAGAGTAAGAGTAAGAGGAAGAGTAAGGGTAAGGGTACGAGTAAGAGTAGTAGTAGTAGTAGTAGTAGCAGCATTAGTAGTAGTTGCAGTAGTAGTAGTAGTAGTAGTAGTAGTAGTAGGCGTAGTAGTAGTAGTAGTAGTAGTAGTAGTAGTAGTAGTAGTAGTAGTAGTAGTAGTAGTAGTAGTAGTAGTAGTAGTAGTAGTAGTAGTAGTAGTACAGTAGTAGTAGTAGTAGTAGTAGTAGTAGTAGTAGTAGTAGTAGTAGTAGTAGTAGTAGTAGTAGTAGTAGTAGTAGTAGTAGTAGTAGGAGTAGTAGTAGTAGTAGTAGTAGTAGTAGTAGTAGTAGTAGTAGTAGTAGTAGTAGTAGTAGTAGTTTAGTAGGTAGGAGTAGTAGTAGTAGTAGTAGTAGTAGTAGTAGTAGTAGTCGTCGTAGTAGTAGTAGTAAAATTTAGGGCAAATGAAAGGCAGGGGAGGGGAGGGAGGGTCAGAGCGGAGGGAGTGGAGTGGGCAGCGGAGGGAGGCGCCAGATCCGATCTTCAGAAAAAAAAATCAGATTCGGGATTTAGGGTTGTTTTATCAGGCTTGTCCTTTTTTGCGGTTGAAAACAGGCACGTGTGTAGGAGCTCATGGCGGGCGGATTCCGCTAATAATATTTCCCATGGATGAAATAGTTCTGGGGGGGATATGGCTTGGAGAGGAGAGAATGGGAGGAGAGGAGGAGAGGATGTGACGATGAACGAGTGGAGGGAGGGGACTTCGTGATAACGTTGCTACTAAGCATAAGAGGATCGCAGATTCGATTTGCGCTATCCCTGGCGATGCCACATTCGGCCTCGCCGCCCCTTCCCCCCGATCAACTATGTCTCGGCCCAGGATGATCAGCTCTCAGGGATGCACGGTGGGTATGCTGTATTAGCTGGGGCGTGCTGTTACCAGCCGCCCATCGCCAATCTAGCGGCGCCGCATACATCGCCGATTCCAGCTCGATGTTTCTCCACCGAAGGTGGCTCCCCCCAGCGTTCCCCCTCACAGATCGAGCAGGAGAAGGAGGAGGAGGAGGAGGAGGCGGAGGAAGGGGAGGTGAGGTGGGGGAGGGTGAGTAGACCACGCGCCGGTACGCCCCATTGCTAGCGGTCGACGGCGTAACCTTTGCGAACATCGACCGCGTGCTCCTTCGGGGGGGCTTTCTGTGACCCTGCCGCGGTGGCACGGAGGATTGGCGCTCTGAGCCCCGCTTCGGCGAGGGAGATTCACATTCTTAGCAGCACTGGACAAACACTTCTGGAACAGCTTCCATTCACCTACGCAAGATGAGGTTCACACACGGCTTATTGCCCCGACTGCATCTGTGATGTATTGATGCGATGCTTGTTTTAGAGCTTATTGATGCGACTGGGTCGTTCTTAGCTCCGCAATTTACGAAGATTATGTCGGCTGCGTCGACGTCCAGATGAAGTGCGCATGACCTGTAGCAGAAAAAAAGCACAGTACGTACGAAGCGATGTTGGTGAATTCGGCTTGCGGCCGTGTGGTGACTGCCATGTCCGACGCGGCATTAAGTGAGAAGATTGCCAAAGCACGCAGCTCCATCATCCATCTGGCGTGCCTCAGTGACCGAACGAAACAAGTCATTCCAGAGAACCAGCTAATAGGTTTGGGATACTGGGCGGGATAGAAGGATGTATTTCGAATCGTTTTCGAGGTGCAGTGACGTCCCACCAGAGATTGCCGTGCAGAGTCTTGTGGGAATTGTGGGGGCGCTGCTTCCTTGATTTCTAGCCGATGATTGCCCCGAGTGAACTCTACGTGGGCCAGGGGTCATAGAGGCGATCGTGCGTTGCCTGCACCGCCGCGGAGTGGCCCGCCAAGTGTGCCAACTACGACGTCGCGGACGTCCACACGAACATCGCGAATTTTGCGCGCGTGTGCCCAGCACTCTGTCGGGCGAGTCGGTGAGCATTGCGAACCCCTTTATTTGATTTGATACGCCCCCGTGAAAAAACCGGGCAAGTCCCTAATACTCGAATGGATGGTCCCCAAATTATTATTGGAAATTCTATTTAGCGGTTTGGCGGCGAACGCGCACATTGCAGACCCAGTCGTGTCGCATCAGCCCGAGGAAAACATAATCTCACATTTACCTGAGGCTTACTTGTCAATCATACCATGGACATTGGGGGAAACTGACATGGAGGTGTTCTTCCGCCCCTGAGCAGTTCTGGTCCTCAGTTTGTGGATCCATATGTTTGTCCGATAATGGTAGCACTCGTGGGGCGACGCGCTGTGGAGCTACATGGGCTTTAGAACAAGTGATCGAGCGTGGCATGCATATGGTACGCTTAGTGCTGCCATGTTTGGCATCTTCTGTCCTACCCGTTTAGTTTCGTTTACTGCCAGAGCCAGTGTGTTCGATTATACGTTGTCTTCTCTGCGCGATTTCAAGCTTCACAGGCACAAGCGCAGCATAACAAACAAATGTCGGACTTCGCATCCTTGCCCAGTGTGCATAACCAGTCCGGCTTCTTTCAATGCTGGCCCAGCACTGCGCGCGCAAATGTTGAGAAAGGAAGGAAGAGGAGGTCGCGGAGGATGAGGAGGGATGGATGGGGGGAGGGGGAGGATGCTGCGAGGGCAGGAGCGGCGGTGTGTGTGGCGGAGGTAGAAGGAGGACTCTCCAGGCACAGGGATGAGGAGAGGGGGAGGAGGGGAGCGGGGAGGAGGATGGGGGAAGGAGAGGCTCTGAATGGCAAGAGCGAGGAGGAGGCTCCGAAGTGGAAGGAGGAGCCAGCAGCAGAAGGACGAGCAGGCAGCGAGGGGCGGAGGGAGCAGGAGGAGCAGGAGGAGGCTCCAAGTTGAAGGAAGGAGCTGGCGGGAGAACGGCAGCAGGCATGGAGGGGGCGGAGGGGGCAGAAGGTGGTTACGATCAGGAACGTTTGCTTAGCGTGTCACGCCGCCGGTTCTGGCCCACCACGCCTCTGAGCGACACGCCAAACACGTCCCAGTCTTCCACGGTCAACGCGCATTGGACTTGCCCAGCCTCCCGTCCCGCGGAGTGGAGCGACATGCTATCCGCTTGCAGGGCATATCGTGTCGCTGTGGCCGCGGCCGACACACGCTACAAGCACAAGCTTTCGGTTTGCCTGAGCTAGGCCCGCGTAAACATACGGATGGAGCGCTGGCATACCATGTCTATTCAGTGGTTTGCTTCATGGAATGGTCGGTGGTGGCAATGGACGTCTTCGTCAGAGGAATTTCGTGGTGGTTTTCTTCCCCTGGCACGGTGTACCAGTCGTACCACGTGCTATGTAACAGCATGTGCGTTAGGTTGACCAATTGTTTGTTGGGGCTGTGCATTGCAGTTGTGTTGAACAAAGATTGCCGTGTGGCAGTGAAGCCAACGGTGTTTCTGGCATAGGCATTCATACGAACAGTGTTCTTTGTATGGCAGCTGTCACTGCCAGGGGGGAACTAATCATGTACATTGCTCTGCGAAAGTTGTTTGGCAATCGTCCTTCTGGCGAGGCGTTGTATGTGGCTATTTTGCTGGATGGCGATCAAATCAACGCTCCTCCCTGGTGTGCGCAGATCCGGCTCACTTTTTAGCGACAGTTGTGTCTTGCTTGGGTGGCATGGGCACGTGCATGTTGATGGAGAACAAAGTCCTCCAGAGTTTTTAGTTGTTGGCGTATTGCAAGGTTTGTAGTACGGCAATCAGTTGTATGGCCCGATGTGGTAATCACCTCAAGTATCGCGCTTGGTGGCGCTCAAATGCTGCTTTGCACGATTGTTTTGTCCTTGCACCTCAGACGCATCTGCCATCCGGGTGTGTTTGGCCTTGGAGTTGTTTCATCTTGTTTCCAGAAGTTTGGGCATCCCAGATGTCGAGCCATGTGCAAGACGTGCCTGCACTCTACTCCTCGGCACCTGGCGCTCGGGCCGTACAGTGTTACTCGGCCGTGCGTTACGCGTGTTTGGCCCATGTTCGTTGAAGGCACGGTTGGGAACGGCTCCAGAGAAACATAGGACGTTCAATAGGGTTATGAGAGCCACGTGTGTGTAGGTATCATGGCTTGAGCCATAATATCTCCCAGATTTCATGGCCCCATCTTACTTCAAGACGCTCCACGGTCCCCCCCCTCGTCCTCGCACATGCCTCGGGAAGTGATTTGCTACCCCCCCTCTTCCACGCACCCCCCGCCCCTCTGGTATGACATCAGCGGATATCGGGGTGGGCAGGCTTCACTGCACAGATAGTCGTGTCGCGCGTCCAGTCGCCCCTCCGTCTTAGAAGCTCCCGACGAAAGCAGGAAGGGTGGGAGGACAGGGAGGCGTAGCTTCGGGTAGCGGGGCTCCCGCGGGCAGGTCGGTTGGAGCCTCCCCTCTCGCAACACCCTGCGCCGCGTACGCCCGCCCAGGGCATGCGCCTGAAGGTCATCGGGATCACCGATGCCCTCCTGCAGTTCGAGGCGCGCGGCGCCGCGGGGGCGGGTTCGAGGAGAGGGGGAGCAGCAGCGGCAGGGAAAGGCTTGAGGTAGGAGGCGGAGGGGACGCCCGAAGACGACAGCTCAGCACAGACAAACTTCCGGGAGGGCCTCGCAGATGTCCCGGGTCGGCGCTGGGGGCACCTGGCGGCGCCCGGGGGCGCCTGCGGCGGTGCCCCCGGCGCGCTCCGCGCGCCAGGGATGGGGTCCGGCGTCGACCCAACCCGCGGTTACTTCCGAAAGTTTAGGTCTTTGACAGGGGCAGGCGGAGCAGGAGAAGGATGAGAGTGAGGAGCAGGGGGACGAGGACGGGGGCGAGGACGATAATGGCACGAGATGGTGAGAAAACAAACGTATGGCACGGACGCAGACGAAAGAAAAAACGATGAGTGCGGCGAAAAGGATGACGCAGACAAGGACACGGAGGCGGAGGAGGAGGAGGACGAGCATGAGAATGAGTGGGAGGAGGAGGAGGAGGAAAAGGAAGAGGGGGATGAGGAGGAGGAGGAGGGGGAGGAGAAGGAGGCGGAAGACGAAGGAGGTGCAGGATGATGAGGAGGAGGAGGCGGCTGGCGGCGGAGACGGGACCAGGGGCGGGGACGGGGATGGTAACGGGAATTGGGTGGGCACGGACAAACACGGGTTCCGTTGTGGGGACGGTGGGGCGCGGACGGATGTGGACGGGGACAGCGACCAGAGAGTGAGACAAAGATCGTAAAGACCGGGGATGGAGAGTGGGACTCTTTCTGTACGGACGTCTGCGCGTGCTCTTGAATTCCTTCCGCCTTGCGACTAAATAGACATCCGGTCACACATACATAGAAACATACATCAATGCATGCATGCATGCATGTATACATACATATATCGATAGTTTCGTACATGCAGACATATATGCATACATACACATATCGTTGCGTTCGCACATACATCCATACACACATACATACATACATACATACATACATACATGCATGCATGCATGCATGCATGCATGCATGCATGCATACATACACACATACATACATGCATACGTACATACATACATACCTACATGCATACACATATATATATATATATATATAAATAAATATATACATAAATATATGCATACATGCATGCCTGCATGCATGCATACATACATACATGCATGCATACAACCACATGCATACATACATGCATACATACATACATACAGACAGACAGACAGACAGACAGACAGACAGACAGACATACAGACAGACAGACAGACAGACAGACAGACAGACATGCTGCATATGTGTGTAGCTGGCGCGTGCCCCTTTCAGTTTGCGTGGGCCCACTAGACGCGCTGCCTGGCAAGTCCGCTACATTGAGATTTGTAGCGAGGTTTGCCATGACAACAATGGAGGTGGAGCAGCAGCCCGAGCATGAGCAGGGGCCAGAGCATCCAGGATAAGGCACATGGGGCCGAGGTAATGGGGCTGGCAGACGACATCCGGTGGTTAGCATATCAAGAACAGCCACTTGCGCTCCAGTGGCAAACGCAGCTGCACATGATTGCATCTGTTTCGATATGAGTCTCTGAGTGGCCCCCACATGTCCCCACGTCCGAGAGGGCGTGATCCATCGCCGCTTTCCTGCGGAAAATGTTCCTCCTTCGTCTGGAACCCGGGGGTCCCCGCCCCCCCTTCCGAAAATCCCACCCCCTTCTCGAACCTCTCACCCTGAAAACTCCCCTCTCCGGAAACCCAGGGGGGGTCACTACCGGTTCGAACCCCCCCCTCCCTTCCCCTCTCCCTCCTTAAAACCGGGGGGTCACTACCGGTTCGAACGCCCACCCCCCCATTCGCCGCCGGCCGGCAAACGGCTCCCGGCTCCCCACCACCGTCCTCACCACCGCCTTCACCATTGTCCCCACCACCACCACCGGCCCCACCACTATCCCACTGTCCCACTGTTCCCACCACTGTCCCCACTGTCCCCACCAGTGCCCCAACCACTGTCGCACTGTCCTACTGTCCCCACCACTGTCCCCACCACGGTCCCACTGTCCCAACTGTTCCCACCACTGTCCCACTGTCCCCACCACTCTCCCAGTCCCTACTTTCCCCACTGCTGTCCCACTGGGCTGGCCAACTGTTCCCACCACTGTCCCACTGTCCCCACTGTACCGCTGTCCCATTGTCCCACCATCGTCCTCATCACCGCCCTCACCACCGTCCCCACCACGACTGTCCCCACCACTGTCCTACTGTCCCCACTGTCCCACCACCGTCCCACTGTCCCCACACTGTCCCCACCAACACCGTCCCCACCAATGTCCCCACTTTCCCCACCACTATCACACTGTTTCCACCATTGTCCCCACTGTCCCCACCACTCCACTGTCCCCACCACTCTCCCCACCTGTACCACTGTCCCATTTCCCCACCGCCGTCCTCATCACCGCCCTCACCACTGTCCCCACCACTACCGTCCCCACTGCTGTCCACTGTCCCCACTGTCCCCACCACTCTCCCACTGTCCCCTCACCACCGTCCCCACCACCACCGTCCCCACCACACCACTGTCCTACTGTCCCCACTGTCCCCACCATTGTCCCACTGTCCCCACACTATTGTCCCCACCACCACAGTCCCCACCACTGTCCCAGTGTCCCCACTACTGTCCCACTGTCACGAGGCGCGGGAATCGTTTGCTGGCGGCGCGGGGGGTTCGAACCGGTAGTGACCCTCACCCTTTTCATGATGGACTGGGGAGGGGGGGAGAGGGAGTTAGGAATCGGTAGTGACCCCCCGCGGTTTTCGAGGGGGGGGAGAGGGACGGATTGGGAACCCCCAGTGCCCCCCCCCAGTTTTCCGCCAGCAGCGGTAGAACACGCTCTTTTCCACGTCCAAACGCTTGGCGCTGGCCGGAAGCACCCAATGTGTAACAATGCGCACTTGTACGCGCGCGTGTGTGTAAAATGGTGGTACAAGGACGGGGGATAAGGTGGGATGGACACACGGGTGGGGGGGGCAGGAGGACGATTGTCACCCATAATTACCAAACATGATTGGCATGTGCTTGCCCGTGGTGAAATACAAAACGTACTATGCCCGTCGCTCCTCGTATGTGTAGCTGTTTCAACTCACGGCCTCTGCATGAAACTCACAGTTTGACTTCTGCAGATAAACGGCTCACTGCTTCCGTTTTTGAATTAGGGCGTTGTTCATGGTAGGATGTCCCATCTTCGTGCAGCAGTGGCGTCGTTTATATCTGAGCCGGTGCCAAGTGAAAGCTGAAGCCGCAGTTGGTTCGGTGTCCGCCTCGCGCCCGCTCGGCCATCGACAATGCAGCAGCCACTGCACGATTGCGACCTTACCACATTGTCCGTGCCGCATTGGTTGCGGTCGAGTATTTTAGGGGGTTGGTGATACTTTGTGCGAGAGCATGGGCAAGCGTATGGCTAGGAATAGGAGCAGGGCTAAGGCCAGGGCTCCCAGGACTGGAAGCAAGGGGAAATGGTTGTGGCGAGGAATATGTTGATCAGGCGGAGGTGGAGGAGGCGGAAAAGCTGTTCAACGGAGTGGGGGAACGGCTTTACACTTTCCTTGGGTGGTTGAGTAAATGGTTGCCTTTGATGCTACAACTGGAGGTGAGGCTCTTCTTGTTGGCGGCGTCCTCGTCCGCCCCGCGACCCAACCGCGACACATCCCGCGACCCACCCCACGACCCAGCCCAGGACCCACCAGCCACCCAGACACGGCCAACACCCGCGAGCTGACCCACATTGCTTAGCATCCCCCACCACCGCAACAACAAACGCAGACAACCCAAAAAAAACGGTGCCAGCGGCGGGCTTGTCATGCCTATACATGAGCGCCTGCGGCAGGAGTCTTCTTTGCATGTGCAGCCGAACCTTGCCATACACCAACGTGGCGTTCCTCGGGGCGCCCACTCTTGGTTTGCCACAGAGCAGCTCCTGCTTCGCGCCTGCTGCCACGAAGAATGTCGCCGCCCGCGGCGGGCTGGCCCTATAGAGAAGAATAGCCCGCGCTCGAGCCCCGCAGGCCTGGGCAAGGCGGCCCGGGCGCCCCCTCACACTCGACCGCGATTGCGGGGCCTACGCTTCCCGTGCCCACAGCCGGCTTAGGTCTCCCTTGCCACAGTCGGCTGGCGGGCCCGGTGCTCCACGGGGGGCCAGGGGGTCAGCGTGCGAAGGCACTAGAGTACCACAGCCCCGCCAGGACCGCTTGAATCAGGTATCATGCCGTCTTCCTCCGTCCTGGGTACTTGTGGAGTCAGTTGCTCGTGGGCGGAGCGCGCAAGGGCCATCAATTCTGTTTGCACCTCTGACTGTGAGGCAGGACAGTCACGTTTGCACCCAGGAGCACGCTGGGGCTACATATCACGGTCGAGCGCTGCCTTTGGTCAGGCGACCGTGCCACGACAGTCGGTGTTGGCTCAGAGACGCCTTGAACACCACCAGAGCTTCGGTAGCATATGGGTGCTTCGTGTGTCCTCGCAATTCTGTTTTTCGAGTGGGCTAGCGCGTGCTGGCGTCGGGCAATCGATGAGGAAGCGCCGATGTTGCGTCGATTCGCGCCGATTAGCGTCAGCTAGGTCCGACCAGCGTCGGTCAGCGTCGACTCGCAAGAGCCTCCAGAATTACTTGGGAGGTTCCCATGAGTTGCCACAGATAAGGGCGGAAGGCATGCCGCGGGAAGAGGGTCTCTCGCCCGCTGCAACTGATGACTTCCATCATTCTTCACTGGGTATGTTCACATCGGAGATGTCAGGCCGAACTTCTCGTGTGATTCATGCTGAAGACCTGTTCGGAAACAGGTGCTTCCCTCGAGCCTCCCGCTACCGCTGGGGCCGCCAAGCCCGCAGGGCGGCAAGACGGCGCCGAGGAACCAGGAGGAGAAGGGCTGGAGGTGGGTCGTGCGCGCCGAGGAGCCGCGCACCCGCCGCTCCGCCTGAGTCATGGATGCAGGGCCGCGGGGTGCTCGCCCACGGCCTGCCTGGGCCCCCCCCTCCCCAAGAAGGGCGAGGAGGAGGAGGAGGAGGGGGAGGAGGAGGAGGAGGGGGACGAGGACGACCAAGAGGAGGACGACGAGGACGGCGACGGCGGCGGCGAGGAGAGAACGACGAGGAGCACGAGGACGAGAACGCAGAGGCTCCTGGGCGCGCCGAGGAGACGCGCCCGCGAGCGCTCGGACGCGCCCCTCCCCCGGGGTTCGGCCGGCGACCCTCGCTCGGATTTCGGCACCTCTCGCTCGCAGGATTGGTCCTCCCTTGCTCCATCCTTCATTGTCCAGTCCCTAACTCACCATGACCCACCTGCCACCCACTCAAACGCTCACTTGTCCACCACCTAGCACAGATGTCACCCAACCATCACACGCCACCCACCACCCACCTACATAACTCCCACCGGCACTCAAAGCATCGCCCTATCCACCAATTCATTCATCTGTCCACCGGCCACCCGCCACACCTTGCACCCAGCCACCTGCCACCCACACACCCCCAACACCCTTCAACCGAGCCACACTTTCTACATGGGGTTGCGATATCAGCCTAACACTTGGTGTTTATGACCTGTCTGCTGCCTGTAACACGTGATCCCAATCGTGGTGTCTCGCTAGTGTTGATGGCTAGCTGCTATCTCCCCACCCTGTTCAGCTCAAGTCTGCTGGTCATCAACTCTTTCTGGCCATGGCCCGTAATGTGGCGTCGCCCCCCCCTTCCCAGCACCGCCAGGAGGATGCGAAAGCAGCAGAGGAGAAGGCGGCATGGACAGCTGATCTTATAGAGCTACATGCTTGGGGATGCTATGTTGTTCGTGGCTGACCCACCTCGTTTATAGCGTTCTGCTCCGCAAGCAGTGCGACCTGTTTGTCATGAGGAGCTTGCTTGCGGGGATCTTGATCGCGTGATGGTAGATGAAGAGATCCCCGTTGCACTGCATGTGACTGGTCATGTCTACGTGCACGTGGATGGAGAGACGCATATCAAGTTGGACGTTGGAGGGTAGTCTCGTTCATCTCCGCAAAGTTATGCATGCCGTGACAGCGCTTTGGGAGACAGCGCCGAGGTCGGCCAGCTCGCTGGCCCTAGAGGGGCCTTTTTCCGCTCGCACCGGTCCGGAAAAAATCCCAGGTCGAACCGAGGTCCCCGCGCGCGCGCAGAGGCGCGTTCCACACATGCATTGTTGGGTTAAGGTGTTCATGCCTTGTGCCATTTCACACGCAGTGTCGATGCGACCGTGAGCATGAGTGCGAGTCGCCCAGAAGATGCCCCTTTGATGCCAAGGGCAGCTTATGATGCTTCATCGGAGGAGCCGGGAGGATTGATGAGCAAGAGGAGGAGGAGGAGGAGGAGCAGGAGCAGGAGCAGAAGAAGGAGAAGGAAGAGGAGGAGGAGGAGACGACGAAATTGAACAGAGGATGCGGGGAGTGAGAGGGAGGATGAGTAGAGGAGGGGAATGGGAGAACACGGGGAGGACGACGACGACGACGCAGAGGACCACCAGAAGGAGAAGAAGAAGGATAATGCCTGACGACGACTACGCGGAGGAGCAGCAGGAGGGCCCCCGAGGAGGCGTAGGAGGGGGGTCGAGGGAGGAGCTTGCAGTTTGCGCCCGGGGCCTGCCCAAGAGAGAAGCAGCCCGCGACCCCACGCCTGGCCGAGGACCAGGCAGGACAGGGAGGACAGGGCGGTAAGCTCGACACCCTCCCTGGATCCTGACCCCAGAGCTCCTAGGAGGTCTTCAGAGGCCTCCGCAGGCCTCCGGCTCCGGGGGCCTTCGAAGGCCTGATAAGGAGGGCGCTCGCTTCGGACCCATGGAATATCCCCCCCCCACCTCCCCGCCGCCTTTTCAAAGAGCGCTGGGCCAAAAGGGCGTGCAAATGTGTCATGGCGTGCGTGAGGTTCAGATCTCCCTGCGGACCCCGCCACGTCCCGCCCCCCCCCCCGTGCAAACGCGCCAGAGTCTAAAGAGAAACAGTCCTAAGGGCCAAACGCGACCGGACATTTCCCCCGCCCCCCCCATCGACCTCCGAGGGTCAGGGGCAAGAGACTTGGCAGAGCCAGCCAAGTCTTCCAGCCCCTGAGGCAGCACCACTCTGCATGAAGCGCTACCCTCTCCTGGGGTGCCGCAGGCTTCCCGCCTCCCCTCGTCGGTCCTCTTCCTCCTCCTCCTCCTGCTTTTCCTCCTCCTGGTTCTTCCTCGTCCTCCTCCTCCTCCTCCTCGTCCTCCTCTTGTTCCTCCTCCTCCTTCTGCTCCTCCTCGTCCTCCCCTTCTTCCCCCTCCTTCTTTCCCCATCGGGTCCTACAGTAGCCATTTTGGCTCAAGATTTCTTTCTCGGTTCCTCCCATGGGAATGGATACTGCTAGTCCGCGGCCAGTCCTCGCCGATTCGCAAAGAGGGACGAATTGCCGTCCATTCCTGCTTTCCTTCCTGGCTTGGCAGGCCGCATTCCATAATTGTCAGTGTCTCGTCGACCGCCGCTCCGATCATCCACGTCGCCTCGTCGAGCCCCGTTCCGAGCTTCCACATAGCCTCGCTGAGCCCTGCCGCGTTCACCTCCGTGCCGTTCCCGTCGCGTGTTGGCAGCGCTACGCCCCTGGCCGCTGGCACTCAGCAGCCCATCGCGGACATCAGCTTCATATCGCCCACCGAGACCAGCTCGCGAACATGGCCAGCAGCAGCTCCAGCGGCAATGAGAGCTCCGCACCCCGCAGCCTCCCGTCATCGCAAGCCTCACGCCGCGGCCGCCAGAAAGCTGGGCATCGCGATCATGCTGGACATCGCGACCGTGCCCATCGCCAAGAAGACCGCCCCTGTGCCGAAGCTGCCCGTGGGACCCGTTCTGCTCAGCAGCGTTACGACGTTGCCCCTGCTTGCCGCCCATCGGGCCGCGTGGCGCCCCGATCCTCTCGCACGGCACGCTCTGCCGATCGCCCCGCCTCTTTTGGCCCGTCGGGCGACGGTCCCCGCCGCGACGCTTTCAAAAGGACAGGACCTATGGAGACTAGCCGCCGACCTGGATAAGCTCCCCACCTTCCCATCGCATGAGCATACCCCCCCCCTTCTGTCGTGCATTCTCCCCGCGTCGAAAGTGCAACCTACAGGTGGCTCCGATCCAGCAGCTCGTCCATATAACCCCGGGGGAGACATGGGCACCGCTCTCCAGGGCCCCGTGCAGGAGCAGACTACCATCGCCGCCCGACGCGCCCCGCGCTCAGGCCGACCGCCTCCTCCCGCAGTCCCGCGAAACCACTCGCTCCCCTCTCCAATAGCAAGTCCTCCAGACCGAGCGCCGCGCGGACAACCTGCACGGCGCCCGCCGCGCCCAGGACCGACAGTCTGCAGAGCAGAAGCGCAGGTGGCAGCAGATCGACCAGGCGCGCGACACCCGCGCCCTCGCCTTCGCCGAGGCCCAGATCCCGATCGCGGACCTCGCGCGCCTCGCCGAATGGGACCGCGCCCCCGACCCCGCGGTCTTCACGTTTGGCTACCAGCGCCTCATCTCACCCGACACCCTCCTCACTGACCTGCAGGAGTGGATCGGAGGCGCTGTCCCTCAGCCTGACCACATTGAAGCTCACGGCCGCGAGCCTTCCCGCCACTCCCTGCTTCAAGCCAAAAGCGCTCGCGAAGTCGTTGTGCCCCTGCGCTCGCTCTGCAGCGTGCACTACGAGGCGCCGCAGGGAAATGGGGGCGCTTCGCGGCCGCCGACGCCGCCGGGCAGCGCGTTGACATCTACGTCAATGGCGACAAGTCGCCGGGGCAAATCCGCGCTGAGACCCAGCGCGAGAAGCTATCGTGACTCCAGCGCCAACGCCCCAACCTGCAGCGGCGAGCCATCCGCAACAACGGCGAGATCCACGGCGCCGCCGTGCCAGCAACCGCCTCGCCATCCGCGGCCAGGCTGGCCCCGCCCTCCTGGAGTGGAACGGGGAGGCCCTCGAGGTCCAGCAGTTTCACAGCATCGACCGCGCGGCCGTTCCCCCCTCCTTCCTCGCCCTCTTTCTCGGACACCGAGTCCGCCAGGTGGCGTTCCTACCCGCCCTTGGGCGCCGTCGCTGGCGCCCGGAGGCTCGTCGCTCGCCGCCTTCCTGAGCTCGGGCGCCTAGGCGCCGATGTGCCGCGAGCGCTCGCGCCGCGGGCGCGAGGGGGCCTCCCCCACCAAGTTTCTTCGACGGCAGTGTATCATTTTCCACCGGAAGGCCCGTGGATCTGAAACGCTGCTCCGCGCGCGGGTGGACGCGTAGCTTCGCCCGCGCATGCTCTTCTCCGAGTTCGCATCCGACCGGCGCACCTCGTCCGACGCCATCGGTGGCGCCGCCGCCTTGGCCCCTCCGCTCACGCCGATGCCGCTCGAGCGGCTCCAGCAGGACCGGCCCCCGATCATCGCGCGCATTGCCCTCGTGCCCGGGCGCGTCCGGCTGCGCGACGTCGCCGGCGCCGCCCCCCGCGACGCCCTGGCCCTGATGAACGCCCACAACCGCGAATTGTCAGCGCGAGATTGCGACAGGACCCGCGCTGCATGGCATACGCATCGCGAGCGGGCGGGGCAGGACTGCCGGCGTCGCGAGTTCTTGGCCATGGGCGACTCCGGCGCAGCTCATTCCAGCCGAGGGCTCAGCGCGTCCGCCTCTCGCTCGACAATAACAACTGCCAGCAGCTGCCCTTCTGGAAGTCGCTCTTCGAGCCCATGCTCGAGGTCGCGTTGGACCTTCCGACCAGGTTCCACCAGTCTGACTACGCGGCCTCCGCGATCGACCGCGTCTTCGTCAGCCCCCCATTCCATGCCGCGCAGGAGCTCACCCTGCGGTTCGACATCGCCACTGACGCCACCACCCTGTCGCACGAGCGCCTCGGCGACCACGCCGTCGCCATGCTCACCATTGGCATCGAGCCGCGCGCGCCGCCCGCCGAGCAGGCCGCCCCGCCCCCGACAGTCCGCGACCCGCGCAATGCCGGCTACTTGCAGCAGCCCATCGACGCCTCAAACACCGCCTGCGCACCCATCCAGAGCCGCTGGCGGTCCCACAAGCAAGCGCCTCATGGCAAAAGCCGATGGCACATTTCGCCATGATTGGGTTCGCCTGCCTTCGGGCGACGCCGCCCGCTCCGGCTGCCTCGACGGCCGCGCGCTCACCATGCGCTCAATCGCCAGGGCTATCTGGCACCAGGACATCACCCTCGCCAGGCGCATCCAGTCCACCACCGGCCTCGGCAAGCAGTTCGCGCCCGTCACCGACGGCGCCATCTCCATCGAGAACCCCGCCTTGTTCGCCAGCCTCTTGGCCACCCGGCACCGCGACTTCGAGGCTCGCCAGCGCCCCCTGGCTCAGAGCACCGCGGGTGGCCCTCGGGGGCGCGGCGGGGCCACCCCCATCGGGCATCTCCACGGGCTCGCTCGAGGCCCCCAGAAACGCGCGCTCTTCCGGATCCCGTGGGAGCGCCGTTTTGCCCCGCAGGGAATCGAGGACCAGAGCCCCTAGGACCGCCGCGCAGAGATAGACGGAGATAGTCGCGCAATGGCCCGCGTCCCGCGCGCGCACTGGGCACCATCTTCGGTCGTCAGCAATAAGACGCAGCAGTGCTCCGAGCAGCGCGCGCGTCTCGCGGCGGCCCGATTGACGTCGGCATTCCCGAGCAAGCACCACATCAAAGCCTTCCTTCCCCGCGCCTCTCAGTCGGCCCCTGGCCCTGGCCGCCCGCCGTGCAACGCGCGTTTCGCCAGCGACCGCTCCTTCCTCTGCTTTAGCCAGTCGAT